TCTAATAGGTCGCGGTTCAAGCGCCGGTAGACATAAATGCCGGTTTAGGGTTTAGGGTCCCCTGGACCGAGGTGGCCGGGAAGGCATTGAAACCCTACAAAGCGGTGCAAGGCCTGCAACGACTCTGTCCGTACGTTATAACTTCTGACTGATCTACCAGCTAAGTCCGACTCACTGCAGAAATCCCCTGGGGCCTAACCCCTTTTTTGCAACCGGGCTGATAGCCCACAGCAGTGACTTCAGATCATGCTCTGCGCAAACCTGGTCTGCATTTTTAGGCCCTAAACCCTGAACCCCTAAAGCCTACCCTTAAACTCCATGCAAAATCTACTTACCAAGACCCCCAAAAGGCGAACCCCCCGACCCTTCACCGACTCGAGCACGAGATCTTCGAAGCTTCACAAGTATCCCCTGATAGTCGATGATCTGATGATACAGAATGTAAGATGCCCCGAGGCCTTTTCCTAACGATTTTTCCAACTGACTCTGGGTTCTCGACACACACACACACACACTCGCGCAAGGCCGGCATGGTAAGGAGACGGCACTCTGGATGTTAGGGTTCAAGATACTTGTCATCCCGGCGCTTCCCTGACGACTCTCCTTGCCAGCAAGGCTCACAAGGAAGATGTCGTAGTCCAGGCCAAGGGCAATCGCCACGCTAATGGCAATGGGCACGATTTCGAAGCACAGGCCGTCGTAGTCCTTAGCTTTCATTGCGCCATCTTAAATCGAGAAGGTAATATAGGGGCCTTAACAAATAGAACAGGGTTTGGGGTATACTATATTATAGTTATAACAAGGAACCCCAAAAATCCCATTCTAATTGTTCAGGCCCCTTCATTAACCCTGAACCGCAAGCCCGATTGAGCCACCTCTAAGCAAAACCTTCAGCACCCTCAGTCCCAAACGCAACGGCCCACATAGATCCTTTATCTGCCGGTGCCCTGAAGGAAGGGTTTGTGGTCTAAGGCTCTTGGACCTTTGAGTCCTAAACCCTAAACCCTCAAACCCTAAACCCTAAACCGGCTGAAGCCCGTCTAAACCCTAAACCGGCTGAAGCCCGTCAGTCGAAAGCCCCTACGCTTTCAAGTACTTGGTCTATCGCTTTATCCGTTCAAACCCCACAGCCTGAACCCTGAAGCTTGACCAAACGATTCTTGAATATTTAGACTCGGGTTCCGGAGAGTGTTATGCTATACTCAGTATAGGAAACTTTGAGGAGAAATTCGAACTTCAGGCAGAAGCCCGAGTATCATACTAGACTATAGTCAGTGGGTTTAGCCACCATAGGAGCTTGAAGCCTCCAACAAGAGCAACTTTAAGATCAACCCTAAGCCCTAAAATGCCCTAAAGTATAAACCCTGAACTGCAAGCTGTCAACCCCTTTTGATCCAGGGTCTCTCTGAATTCTCACCCCGAGGCCTGCCTCCTGTGACCTGGGAGTCTTTGGCAGAGCCTAAACCCTAAACCCTAA